CCAACATTCAGCATACGGCCCCAGCAGAAACGCGAAAAGGGCTGGTTTGCTCACCTCGGAGGGAGAGCGAAGCAATATCGCGATGCAATAATTAGTAGCGCCTTCAATAACCCCATTTTTGCAGTAAGAGAAGTTCGAACCAGTTTGCTTGTAAAGGAATGGAATGTGGTGAGTACGGAAACCTATTTTGCTATTGTTTTGAATGCATTGCATGCTGTGGACCGTGATGCCCCCCTACGACCACAATTAAGCCATATCCCTCAGATAGTATGAAAGTCAATCATATCCACACCCTGAAAGAACCTGCTGATAATATTCCGGAGGCAAAAATCAAATGAAAAAGTAGTCTATACAACAAAATCACCTGGCGCAACATATAGTATGTGAGTCCTGATGTATAAACGCCAAAAACGAAAGGCGATCTTGGACACTGTCTGATGGCATCGAGAAGCGACATCTTCGGATTGAACAAAACCATGTCAGCGCTGATTTTGGTCGCTGAAAGTTTCATAATAATACACATGTTGAACGATTAAAGCAGAAGAAAGATGTCCACAGGTTCATTTAATGAATTATTGACCACTATATCAAAAATTAGAGATACCAGTACTAACTGAGAATGATGAAGATATTTGTATAGGTAGAAAGGATCGAGCTAGTCATCCAGTCAACCCGGGCAAAGAAACTCGTTCAGCTCTCGCTTAACTTCACTTTTCCGATTACTGATTAAGAGAGGCTCAACCACCGTATCAACTCTTATGAAAGAGCAGAAGGAAAAGCACTTTTGCTGTTATAGGCCGATGGCGAGGTCGGTAACCAATAAGTTATTCAAGCCGCAAGTAACCAAATTAAGACTTTAAAAAGATAGCAAAATATTCATGCGCACGACTAACCAGTGAGAAACAATTTCGACATAAATACATCAGCAAAAACCATCACGGGTATAATAGCAAAAATACAAAAAAGTAAAGAAAATGACGTAATAGGGTATGACAGTTGGATTCATTTGAGAGGAAGTAGCTAAATAAACTAACCAATCATCGTGGAAGAGACACAGTTTGCGATAATCCCTGCATGAATCGGCCAATTCAACGCTCTTCGTTCCGAAGCATACGGCCAGTTCGATGCCACGTTCGATATTATTTGTGCCTGGTCCAAAGGGGACATCTGAGAGATGTTCGTCCAAAGCCATGATCGTTCACCGGACAGGCGTTGGGCAACTCTGAAAAAGTAAGGTAAATGACGCTGACCAACTGGTACAACCTCGAAATCTCGAGAAATATTCATTGGAACTTCGCTACAGGTATATCAGTGCCCTTATACTTGATACGATATTCGCTTTGAAGGAAGCGATCCGCTGGCTTCCACGTGGATAGCCGAACTCCGCGCTATCAACCGATATGGTCGGAGATATTAGGTACCGGATATCTTAGTGTCGTTTTTTCACCACGAGTTTCGGACCACCAATATTTTAATTCAGAATCCGGGGAGTGAAACAGCATATTCATCGAATGACTCATTAGCACTTTCCCATTTACCAGTATGAGTGGAAACCTCGTACGATTAAAGCTAGGAATTTTTTGAGTCGAAAAAGAGAGGTAGGTCGGTTTTGACATCATCTGACAAATCATCCCTCTCACTTGCTAAAAAGTTAGGCCTGGACAAAAGAAGTATACAGTTAGTTAGAGTAGGGTCTGCACTGTATGGTGGAAAAGTTAAAACTTACCAGCTCAACTGGACAATTTTTCCCGGAGTCTTTTTTGCCACATAGGGTCAAAAACGCCTTTTTGAGCACACGTGAGTAGCAGATGAGCACATTTATTAGAATTTCTTGTGCAATCAACTTCGTTAAAGCGTTTGTGCATCATCGATCAGTCACTGCTAAGGTGTCCTACCATTTCAGCACAAGACTGGTGCAGCCCCGTCTCGACTGATTTAACTAGGGCCACCTTTTTGACGACGATTGCGGGCATCACTTCAAAGACTTCACTGTCTTTTGAGAAAACTGTGAAAAACCGATGAGCATTTTAAATGGTAGTATTCCCTCCAACAAATGCAATGTTGGTTTGGTGGGCGGAAGTTGTAGCTCTCAGCAAGAATTTTGAAGCATTTGGTACACACATGCGAATTTGCACACTGGACCCAGGAATTTTCAAAAAAAAAGTATAAAAATTGGGGAAAGTTAAATTGTGAACCAACAATAGAAAACAATAAGCAACATATTTCGCAGTATTAATGGCCGATGTCAGACTTTGCGATTGGAGTGATTTTGCACCAAATGTAGGAGCGACGGATCGCTCAAGCGATGGTGCAAAATCGCTCCAATCGCAAAGTCTGACATCGGCCAATGGGGGCGCACGCATAGTCGGTCGGACGACAGCAACGATCGTAACTGTCGCACAGCATTGGATGCGTATCGATCGTCGGACTTGCCTGAGTATTCGACGATTAGATGCAGTTAGACAGTCAGACAGTTGCGATCGTTGCTGTCGGACGACCGACTATGCGTGCGCCCTGAGCAAAGAGGACTTTCTGAGATATTGATTTTCCATAGTAATCGGCCCCAAAACTTCCTGAACTCAGAAAAGCGACACTAAGATATCCGGTACCTAATAGATATTGGTTGGACGAGCATAACCCTATGGAAGATACGATACGATTAGATAAGAAGATACGGCTGCTTGAATGAGGTGCACTCCAGCATGAAAACGAACGATAACGATAACGGTATCATATCTAGCACGCTGCTATTGCATCCCCTTCCACGTCTGATAAGGAGGTGCAACGCCGAACCGGAAGTGGGTTTCGGCGCCTTATCACGCCGTTGATAAGGCGCCACTGCCCTGAAGCGTCACCTGTCGTCCCATTGGGTAGGACCCCTACCCAATCCACTATGTCACTTTCCTATCGTCTCCATAGGAATTTCCGTGACCACTTCCTTTAATGCCGGCTGGTTCAGGGCCATTCTGACGTCACAAAAAACTTTTTCAAACAAACTCGGGTCTCATACGGTAAGAGGGGGCATTACGATTTGCACGCTCAACGCGTGAAAAATCACGGAAAGCATTTCCTTTCAATGTAAACGTACAGACTACCATTAGAGTGCGGAAGACCCCATACTCGCAAACCCCGCCCTCAGGCAAGAGTGGTGCATTACCTCTACCTTACATTAACAACAAAATTAACATATGGAAAAGATAGTGGCATCGTTTCTTCTCGATGCCGAAGACCCTTACAAGTTAGACTGAAAAAATAAAACGCAAAATTTTTAAAGAAAAGAGCTATACGAATGCAACCCACGTTGTTCGAGTGATTGGGAGATCCTCGGGTTTTGCTTCTACTGGGACTTTGGATCGTTTCCATAATTCGACCACTTGTGCAGACGGTTCCTTACTGGAACTCGCTGTATGTAAAGACATTACAGCCCGTAGAAATGTGTGCTGAGCAAAAGAAGAGAGAAAT